CTTGTTTTTATACAGAGAGACAGATTTTTTTCCAGAGCATTTTCAATGATTGCTGCAGGAATGAATGGGTAAAGGTTTCAAGAATAAATTGTTGCAGAAAACCCACTTACTGTTGCACATAAGTCCATGCAGCCCCCGGGGTACAAGTACTTATGTATCTCTTTTTTGTTGAGTTCTATTTTTTTTTTATGAATATGCATATTGGGGGAAAAATTCCATCTGCTCTCTTTTAGCTGATTCTATCACATTTTTGAGCTGTGCATCATTATGGAGCTTCAGAGAAAGATGATCATTTACATTACATACGGATATAAAGGAGAGAAGGAGTTGATGAATTGCAAACAAGTATAATTTATATGGACAAAGTGTGCCAGAAGTGCTTTTCACCCCATTTTACTCGGCAAATGGAGTGATTCCTGCCCGTTCACTTGGCCTAGTGCCCAAGAACTCTGAGAGGAAACGATCCCATTCGCCTTATGCATCAGGATTCCACTCCTGCCCTGTGAGGAAATGGTGCTCTGCACTCAAGCCCACTAGGGACCCAGAAGGTCAAAAGAGATAGCTGAATATACTAACTGTCATTTTTTATATTCTTTCCTCATGGTTTCTTAATTTGTAATATGCATCACACAGACCTTTTGATACTCTGTTGGTAATTCAAATGTGAGAAGGGTGCATGATAAAGGGAAAGGGGAGTAAAGAAAAGCTCATATCATGTGTTCCTGGTAGCCCCTTAGCCTCTTTCTGCACTTTGATTTCCCATGGCAGATTATTTATCTAAATGCCCATCAGCTTTGTAAATGGGCAAATGTCTACATTTAGGGTGCCTTCCTAAGGGCTTCTCTGTTGCCTATAGCCCTTAGGAGTCAGCTGTGACTCCATATTTGTAAGACACCAGGGTGCAAGATGCAGTAATAGCAGTAACAACTTCAAATCTTTTACTTATTTAATTCATTCATTAGTGTAGGCATTCGTTTATATATCCAATCATCCATTCTTCAAAAATGATTACTCCTATTGTGTGCGGGGGTGAGGAATCAAGCTAACAGCATAGCCTCTTCTTAAACTGGTTAGGAGTAAACAAAAAAATATTCTGTCATTTCAAAATACTCATTTATCTGAGAAGTTCTGTTAAACCGGCTGAGTTTCTCTCATTGCTTCTGTCTAGCTAACACAGTTGTCCTAGCCCTCAGACAATTTGTGCCTTAAGAATTTCAAATGACTGAAGTTCATGTTTCTATATTATGGTAGCATGTTCACTGCTTTTATGTTCAAGACATCAGTGGATGGATATGAAGTAGTGGATATAGCAATGGTAGTGGTTTTTATGCACATACTACATGCATTGTACTGAGTGTTTTAAAAAACATCTCCCTTAATCAACCTCATTTTGTAGATTAAAAAAAAAAAAGAGGACTAAGCTTGGAAGATAAATGACCTTCCCAAAGTTCCACAGCTTTCAAATCAAATGGTTCAACTTCATGACCTCCAGTCTATCTATTTAGGTCAATATTGGGTGTGATTAGAGGAATTCAATGGTAAAATAGGAGGTGGCCTAAAATGAGGGTTACTTCTATCTTATTTCCATGGCCAAAAAATCTGGTCAAATTTAGAAGCTGCTGTTCTTTTACCTATATTTAGTCCTTATTTATTTTACTCTCAATCTTTACATAATTTTAGCATGACTTCCCACTTTATAAAGGAGTACTTGAAGTCTTCATGTGAATTAGTCATACAATTTTCTTTGGTGGTGTTGGGGTGTTGGAAGTGCATGCGTTTGTAGGGTGATGGGGTATTTGAAATTTCTTCATAATATTTTTCTCAGAACTTATGCTGTAACGGAAGTTTCAGAACATGAAATGTCATCAATTTGGCCTCACTCAGGAAGTTGCACTGTAACCTCAGTGAATTTGATATTGTCTAAAAACCTGATGATCTTTAGCTGCCTATCATTTTAGAAGTTTTTAAAGTTACTTATTTCTTAACTAATTCCCTTGGCAATTTAATTGATAAAAAAAGATTCTAATAAAATAATTCAGGGTGAAGATTTATTCATGTTTATGTCAGTAATACAATGGGGTGCAGGGGACCAGAATTTAAATGATGTAATTTTTGTATTTATCAAAAAAGTATTATGAGGATTTTATCCACTTACCTGGCATAAAATTTCTCTAACCACGCATACTGTCACAACATACTTGAATCTGCAAATATAGGAAAGCTCCGGGATCAGAATAACCATTGCATCCTCAAAAGATTTTTACAACTGTATATATACTGAAAGACTCAGCTCATTCCAATGGGGAGGCTATGGTGTGATTCTAATGCAGATATGTGGTCCAAAGGACCTTTGGTGGCATAGTCATGGATAGCATACATGTTCTACATCTAAATATTTTTGAATACATAAACAAATGAGACTGGGAATCTCATCAAGTTCAACCTAGAAACACAAAGCCGATATAAAGATACTGTAATTATTAAAATGTCAACCTTCTAAACATCTAAAAAGGCTTGCATTCATGTCTCTCTCCAAGCCAAAAGCAGGAGAATGTCCACATTCCTCAATTACCTCACTTTGGATGGACTATTTCTTGCCTTTCCAGTCCTCTTTAGTCAGCTTTCCATGGTCAAGAGAAAAGCCCGTCTTCCTTCTGTTGATGTCCCCTCCCCTACACTGAGGAAGCTGAGGCTAGAGCTTCAGGGATCCCGTGGGTAGCTGTGTAGGTAAAGAGAAGGCAGCAGCACTCCCTTAAGGCAGAATGTACTTTCACTACATGTGTGCCCTTTTCAGTGCAGTGCTCCCTCATGGGGCCTTCCTCCTGGCGACTTGAAATTTGTGATGTCTCCACATCCCTCCCTTTTCCCCTCTTTGCAGGAATCTAATCTCTCTTCCTCTGCCACAGTCTTCTCAAGGCCTCTGCAGCACATCTACTCAAAAGCATTTCCCTAAATCCTTGACTGGGTACCAGACCTTTACTTTTAAGGGACTAAAGTTGTGGCTCAGTATGCTTCAAGGGCAATTTCCACCATTTTACTATCAAGTAGTTCCTTAGAAGCTTCCCAATCTACAATCACCTGGTATCTCCATAAAGAAGCTGTACTCTCTTGACCTCCCTGAAGCAGCAGGTTGATTCAAGTTTTAAGCTTAGGGTGAGTGGCGGTGCTGTATCCAAGCAAGCCCTAGAATAATCAATTTGAAATGATAACTATAGCAGGAATGGGGCCAAGATGGAGGCAGCATCCTGGATATTTGAAATAGAAACAGCATTTCCTGCTGTGGAGAGGAAGGAATAGAGGTGGACATGTGCTTAATGCCTGACCTAGGCTCTGTATGTGAGATTAAATCTCATGGATCTGGAAAAATATGCTAGAGATTAACAGTGCAGTGTGGTCCCCCAGCATTTGAAAGAACATTTTCTTTCCTGTTTTGTTTTGTTTTTTATTTCCCCTAAGGTATTATGTTTTGTTTTTAAAAAAATTGGGCCACATCTTTCCATATAAAGATGGACTCTGTTATATGGCAATAATCATTATTTAATGTCTTCCGGAAAACGTTCCCAAATGCCCACTCTGTGCCAAGTATTACATTAGGCACCAGGAATTAAAAAGGCTAAATGAAATAACCTCTGTACCAAGGATGTCACAGTCTTGTAGAAGGGCAGTTATCACACACATAGATAAAATATAACATGACAAGTGCTCTAACCAACAACTTTCAAGTTGCTATGGAAACACAAAGAAGAGAGCACTGAACTAAATGAAATAACCTCTGTACCAAGGATGTCACAGTCTTGTAGAAGGGCAGTTATCACACACATAGATAAAGTATAACAGGACAAGTGCTCTAACCAACAACTTTCAAGTTGCTATGGAAACACAAAGAAGAGAGCACTGAAAGGAATCATGGAAGGCTTCACAGAGTAAGTGACTTTTGTGATGAGTCTTGAGACAGAGAACAGAGGGAGGCTATCAGATGTAGAAAATAGCATGAGCCACTCCAGGAAAATGAATAGCATATGAAAAACTCACAAAGGGTATAGGGTATTGTGTATACAGGAAATTGCAAGAAAATTGTTACAGCTGAAGTGTAGATTGAGAAGTGGAGTGCGGGGAGGGAAAATACAACTTATAAGGTAGGTGAAAAGTGGTTGGGAAAGACCTTATACATCCTGGAAGAAAGTTATTATACTAAAGACAGTGAGGGGCCACCAAAAACTTTTAACAGAAAAGCACTTGATTTGATTTGTGGGTTAAATAGATTTTTCTGGAGGCTGCGTGGAGTATGGTTTAGAAGATAGGAGGTCCATTGGAAAGCTATTGTAATATTTCACAAATGAGATCATGAGATTCCAAAGCAAGAAAGTGACCATGGGAATGGATAGAATGCCATGAACATGGAAGCATTTTTGGATGTAGGATCCAAAAATAGGTCTTGATTACTTATTGACTTTTTATTAGGAGGATATATGTGAGATTAAGTGAAAAATGATTTTCTGCTTTGATGACTGGCTGGGCATTTGTACCAGTAAAGAGAGAGGTTGGGAATAAAAAAGGAGAGAGAAATTTGTAGAGAAAATCAAGGATTTGAGTGTGTTGAGTTGAAGTTTCCTGGGAGTATTCAGGAAGTTGGATAACACAGACGTGAGATCATCTATTAGGGAACTATAAAAAAAAAAAGTGAGGACTGACTGTAAGACCTTGTCTGGTAGGAGATATTTTCTCTAAATTTCTAATATTAAAATACCTTAAGTTATACTAGTCTGAAAATAAAATAAGCGCATAGTTATTTTTATTAACATCGGGGTATGACAAAATTTAAAGAGATATTTACACTTAAAGATAAAACATCTGCACAATTATTAAAATTAATTAATAACAAAAATATTAATTAATGACAATATTGTCAGCTATACTTTTATACCAGATAACAGAGTAAAGAAATCAACAAAAAATAATTATTAAAAGTCCACTGTGTTTCAAGATAAAATGTTTCCAATATTAACTCACACTTTCTCAATAAGTATAAAAATGAGTATAGATGCTGCATGGACAGATCAGTTCAACAGAGACATCGTATGTTACTATTAATTCACTAATAACACAAATTCAAAACTGGCAGGTATGAAAAAAGTACAGTTTTTGCTTTTTTTGCAGATTCTATCATTTTGTACTTATACAACAAAGCTAAATAAAGCATATGTCACACATACCAAAAGCTCACACTATGTTTTTTCTAATACAGGCAAATGAAATATTAACATATTGCATTTAAAATAATAAATATATGCCTTATTTATAATAATCAGAAATGTTAGAGATACAAACTTTATGTACAATCATTTCAGATTAAAATATGTTAACTTTACGTTGTATTTACAATATTTCTCTCCCTCTCCTATTTGATCTTTTAGCTCAAAGAGAGTTAAAATGGAATGCATCTGTAGATAGATATATAGTCCAGAATGTGTGTTCAGTCACTTGGCTCTGTGATAGTAATCTTCTGTACCATGTCAGGCAGATTTTCAGACTCCATATCTTCTTTGCCATTATCTGAGTTTCCTGATGAGATATAACAACCAGAGTCCCTTGGGCAGTCATCTAACTGTGACTTATTTAAGGAGATGTCTGGGCTGAAGGATAGGGGCACAGGTTCATTTTCTTGCTCTTGAATAGCTGTAAATGGAAAACAGGGCAGAAGTTAGGCAAAGAGAAGAATTTTGTTCATGTACTCATTCATTTTCAAGCATTATCCTATTTTAACCATTCCAATATTGACTTCATTACAATGGAAATGTCTGCAAGTAAAATATATATTTGTTTATAAAATAAATATTTGCATTCAAATATTCAAGCCACTGTTTTCTTAGAAGACAAAGTCTGCCCTTCATTGTTCACTTGCAGTTTTATGGAATTCGCGTGAACTGCTTGTATAAAGCGAAGATCAATATGGACTCTCATTTTACATTAATAATAAGTTCCAGAGAAAGCAGATTGATGCCTTGCTCAAATACTTCTTAAAGTATCATTAGAAAAAGTCAATTATAGTTTAAATGTACAATCCACATCAATAGTGATCTTTGTGAACAATTCCAGAATCATGATAATGCGGACTAATGAATAAAAGATAACTATGAGCCACAACATATGGTAGGACACAAATTACCTGAAATTTAACTAATAAAACTTTAAGTATCCAGAATTTTCCAATGTTTGTATTCATTAGAAAAAACAGACATAAGAAACCAGGTTTCTTTTGGAGAGAAAAACACCAACATTTCCATTGAATCTGCCCTATGAATATTTAGTTTGTCTTCCACATCTTTGTCTGTAGTTCTGAATAACAATCATTTCTGTTCAGGTTAATAATTCTGTGTTATATTAAATCAGAGTTCTATATTCAACAGGCACTGTCTTTAAAAAAAAAAGTTAACATTAGATCTATTAAAAAAAATTTCTAAAGAGCTTAAGCAGCATTATAGTTAGTGTTAACTTTTCTCAAGATTCCTTTAACATCAGCTTTCTTTTTGTCAATATGAAGTTTCTTTGTCTTCCCTGACACCAGTAGATGGGTGCTTCTCTGCATCATGAGCTGAGTTCTTCAGAAAAGAAATGGATCTCAGGCTGCCACCTTTTCTTTGCAGTAGCATGTCTTCCTCATTTCCCTTATAACCACGGGGTTCCCATGACTAGATATTTGAATAGCCTCATGTAAGAAGAACAAAACACATACATTTAAGGTTGGGACAAGAACTATGCCTGCAGAGGCTATGCATGTCATTTCATTCCAGTGAGAAGAAAGTAAATACAAACTTCAAAATCCTTGGAAAGAGGAAATTGTATAATTTTCTTCAACAGGCTATTTTAATGCTAATTAGTTTATCTTTAGGAAATCTATCCTATATCTTATCTATATGTCTCTTGCTTTTTAAATCCATATTCTAGGTTCTAGATATTTGCCAACATTAGTTTATGATCTACTGTGTGTCCAATTGTCATCTACCTCCATTACAAATGAGAATTGAACATTGGTGCTCTAAGGCACCTGATAAAGTTTGGCTGTGTTGTCCCCCACAAAACTCATGTGGAAATCTGATCCCCAATGTGGCAGTGCTGGAAGCTGTTTGAATTATGGGGGCGGATCTGTCATGAATGGATTAATGCTCTCCGTGGGGGTCGGGGGGGTAAGTGAGTAAGTTCTCACTCTATTAGTTCCTGGTGAGAGCTCATTGTTTGAAAGACCCTGGCACCTCCCTTCCCACTCTCTTGCTTCCTCTCACCATGTGATCAGCTTTTACCGCTGACTGCCTGCCACTTCCTGCGGTGAGCAGAAGCAGCCTGAG